ACAATAATCGCGAACTTTTGTATCTTTTTTCTCAACAAAAGGCCTATTACATATATGACATAGCGTAGCACGAAGAAAGCTAAATGCCTCTTGGAACGTTAAATTTTCCATAGGCTGCGGGCTTCTGTACAACTCGTGCAGATACTTAGCCAAATCGTGAAAATTGCGAACGAACCACTTGGCCGGACCAACGTCATCGACGGTTTTCTGTCTGTAGCTTCGATAACGCGAAAGAGAGTCATCGTAGCTACACTTGACGGAAAAGCCAACGCTGTACGGTTTGTGACGTTGATAGATCCGCTCGTCGTTGGACACCGCTTCCAAGAGACTCTCAAAATCGGCGTACACGACGAACGGTACCGCGCACTCATTTTTAAAGTTTTCAAATTGTAAATATTTATCCTTGCCACTGGAAAGCACAATTTTACACATATTAACATTTTTACAGTCGATCTCGTGCGTTTTCAATCTCTCTTTAGTTAGAAAATAGTGCAAGCAACGATCGGATATGTACGACTTACATTTGCGAAATGACAACTGTCGATACATCAATCCAGATAAGTCTTTTATCCAAACGTTCTTCGTTCCAAAGCTGCTCTTCATTCACATCGGCATTCACATCGATATAATAATTTGCCACTAGAAGAAGATTCACGTGCCTGTCTTTTTTCTCATCGGTCAAATGTTGCGGCAATACATCGTAGGACCCATTATTCAAATTTAAAAAGTACACGTTCACTGAAACGTTGTTTTGCTTTTCAAATTTCACGATTTCTTTCGGGTGCACCGGAAATGATAGGTCTTTGAAATTATATTTATCTTGATGAGCAGTATAGGCAGTGACACGGCATGCATTCCTTGCGACTGGATGTAACGCCAAAAGGATGGCCCATTTAAAGCATTCGTTGTCGTTGTTCCGCACGTTCACACAGGCTCTCTTTCTTTTAATAGGTTTGGGCAATTCAACGTAAGAACCAGTCCTCATAGGATTGTACTTGCTGATATTTACGGTTAAGTTTAATATAACGCGAAGAGACCAGCCTGAGTCTTGCTCTTGAAATTCTTCCGTGCTCTTACTAATTGGTTGTAAAACGTTTTCGACGAACCACTCGTCTATGTCTGTGGTTAGGTATATCGGCGCCATCTTCGTATTGAAATGCTTCACATCGAGCTTTTCATCGCAATTATTCTTTTCGACTGCATACTCGGCATCCAGTACGGCATTAACTTTTAAAGAACTATGTTTCTTCAAGGTCTCCTTAATTTGAGCATGGAATAATGGTTTGGCATGCCTCAAAAACGCATTTAAATCCAGATGTTTCAGTTTGGTTATCACACCAGTCTTTATTCTGCCTTTGAACGCACTATTGATGTCGTTCCAGCGAACTGTTGAGTCTTGAGCTGGATTAACAACAACCGGTGTAGTGGTAGTGGTAGTGGTAGTGGTAGTGGTAGTGGTAGTGGTATTGGTATTGGTAGTGGTAGTGGTAGTGGTAGTGGTATTGGTAGTGGTAGTGGTAGTGGTAGTGGTATTGGTATTGGTAGTGGTAGTGGTAGTGGTATTGGTAGTGGTAGTGGTAGTGGTATTGGTAGTGGTAGTGGTAGTGCAGAGCAGGGGGGGAGAACGCACGCCATCAGATCAACTCAGTAGGGGAGGGGGGAGTGCGTATATACGCACCGGTATAATTCAGTAGGAGGAGGAGGAGGTGAGTCGACAATGCACAGGCCGCTTAGTAAGGGAGGGGAGGAAGGTGAGGTGACAGTGCTGAGTTCAACATGCACACACCTCAACTCACACGCTTCAACTCAGTGAGCTGATACCCCTCTGAGTTGAGGCCCCTCTGGTTTACCTACTATTAATATTCACTATAACTGAAATATTTTTGATTTTTTAATCCCTTGCATAAGCCCCCACATCATTCGTGGCCATGGGCCTTTGAAAGTTAAATCCGGCGCTGAGAGTCCCATAACGTTACATATTAATTTCATTTGCATTTTTCTCAAAATTTAATTCGTCAACCGTAGTACTTCTTTGTCGCAAATAAATCTAGGATATTTTATTTATATATTCTCAAAATTTCAGGAATATTCATAATTTTATTTGCAAGCGCCCAAGCCTCCTTGATGATATCACATAATTCATTTCTAGGTTCCGGTAGATGGAAAGGCTACGTGATTTCACGTGATATCACATAATTATTTACTGTGTCCCGGTAGATGAAAAGGGTATCGTTCCTTTTAATGTTTTGTTAAATAGGCTGAAATAAATAACGATAGAATTGTTATTGATAAGATAATATAATAATTTTATTTCTTCAACTTGAATAACAACAATCGCAATCAGTACACGCTATGTACCTGGTCGCATTAGGCTCAGCAAAACAGACTAAACTTCGGACAGTACTTAACCCGCTTTTATACGTGTCAAGTAAACAAATATACTTCTTACGCTTAAACATCGAAATAGGAGTGTCAGGATCAGGGATTATAAAGCGTTGTACATATAGGCAGAAAACAAGAAAATAAGGAAAATACATCTACTTCAAAAGTTCCATCTCCCGAGGACCAATAATCATATATCACGTGAAAAATCATGTGAAATCACGTAGCTCTACATCTATCGGGACCTAGAAATTAATTATGTGACCACGGAACAAATCACATACCATTTCTGTCTTCCTGGATTCAGCTAATAATTATGTGATATTACATAATAAATCACATGATTTATCACGAAAAAATGACACGTGATTTATCACGTAACAAATCATGTGACTTTTTTCTGTACGATACTATTTGTTTAAGATCATTTCCTGTATTTCCTTAAGTATTCACCTCATAAAGTTTATTCAGTGTTTATACAGTATAAGTTATTTTATCCCAAACAATTAACAACATTTGTTACGTTCACAGAGTATTAGAATTTTGTTTATTAAGGAGACTAAAGTGTGTTGAAATAAATAAACATAATTAAACAATTCTTTGAATAATTATAAAAAACTATAGTTTTCACTGTAAAATCATCATAGACTCTACAATATAACTGTGTATAAAATACGTTATTTTTATTTTAAAAATTCTATATGATGCAATGTTTTACCTCTCATAACAGAACAAATTTGACAGCATTCCAACGTAAGTTTGTCCCCTTAAAAAAGTTGTAATTAGACTGCATTTTAACATATTAACATAATACATTTGACATACGATTAAACAGGTATCTCATCGTAGTCCAGCAACCAAAAAGAATTATTTAATTGTTTCATAGATAAGAAATATTTAAATTGATTATTTTTTATGAAATAACATTATTTATTACATTTACTGTAAATAAAGTTTTCATTTAATACTTATTATATTTACAATTATATATTTATTTTATATTTTATGCTTCTAGAAAATCATCCATTATATCATTCTTCATATGATCAACTTTCAAATGGGTCAATATGAGCTGTATCATGATTCTTCACATAATCAATATTCAAAAGGGTCAAATCCTTATTGATCATATGATAAATCATGTGTAAATTTTCAGCTGGCTATCAGGAAAAAGTAATCATTTCAAAGCATAGACTTGATTTACATATATATATTAGATTTCTTTTATTTCGATTTAATAATATATTTAATAATTTAATACCACTATATTTAATAATTTGATTTGATTTAAACATGAAACTGAATGTTACTGAATGAAAACAAGAAATGATCACTTAAAGCATGTTTGATAGGAGCAGTGATATGTAAAATTAAAATGTTAAATTTCATTTAATATCAATTACTGAAATATAAAAAAATGTTCAAGATGATTCCCCATGATAAAAGCTCATTAATATGTAAAATTTCAAATGCTCTTCATTAATCAAAGATTATCCCAGAAGAAAATTTATTTAAAAGTTTAATATACTCTTTGGCATGGTATTTTACATTATCCTAATTTAATGATATTTACACATATATTAGATTTATTATGTAACATTAGTTGTAAACTTATTTGTAATCATTTTAATCATTATTATATTATATTTCATTCTTCATCAACTCTAACTTTACTTCAAATTTGGTTGTAATTTGCATAGGGTTGAAAATCATGATTTCGATCAATGTCATAACAAAATTAAAGCACAATTAGATCTGATTTATGAGATAATTCAAAGTTGAATCAGCATAGAATTTTTAAACAAGATTCTTATATTCACAGTCCATGACTATGTTAAATAGTGATATATCAGATTATAACTGAGTTGGTCTGCACAATTGAAATTTAGAATTAGTAAACAGTATTAGCTAAAATGTCTATTCTTATCTAACGTGTTAAATTGAATACAAATTTTAGTGATATATATAAACTAAATCTTATTATGAATTTCTACCTATATAAAAATAAGATATTTTCAAAAATACACATAACAAACTAATCCTGAAAATTATCATAGTTAAACAGTTCAACAGTGATAGGTTAGTGTTAGATTTATAAGTTTATACATAACAATTTCTGAGCTACTTTCTCCATTAATCTATAAATAATGTTAGGTCAAAATTGCCTATATATAATGAAATTTAAAAACTCAAGAACTATAATTAATAATACTTTTATACTCACCAAACAATATGTGTCTGTTTATCAAAAAGTGTTAATGATTAAGCATTTATTCATAACCTTTGACAAAACATCATTCATCAATTTTTATGTCCATGTGTGTGTGTGTGTGTGTATATATATATATATATATATATATATATATATATATAGGTACCAAAACTAATTCTATAAATTGATAGCTATAGCCTTTACCTGCACATATAATTATCAATTGATAATAATTAACATTAAATTTTTGACAACCATTTGCTAGTCAAGTATGTGAACACTGTTTGAATAATATCTTAGTGTATAAATAATTATAATAATAGTAAAATATATACAAACTGTATTACAAAATAGAAAATAATAATAAATTTAAAACAAATAATTGCATGAATTAGACAGTTTATACCTGTAACCAGAAAAAAAATTTTCTACTCGAAGATTTAAATTTTAGAAGATAGACTCTGCCAGTTTTACATTGTGATACATATTTGAATTCACAGTCATCAGGAAATATTATGAGATCCTGAAATAGTATTATAAAAATAGGATAACAGTATTAAATAATTAGAAATAGAGAAAAAATGCCTGATACTTACATCCTCAACAACACCAGTGGACCTATCTTTCCAGCAAAAATGCATAAGAGAATCATCTGACTGATAAACATAAAGTTGACCTTTCCTACTGTCTGGATAAACTATTTTACCTTTCATTATCATCTTTCCAGCTTTAAATTCGACAAGGTTTTTACTGGCGTTACGAACAGCACTATTACCAAAAAGAGCACTAGTCGACATCTTTACAGTAGATTCAAATAAACAGTTTTCCAGATAACTAAGAACATATATCACGTGTACTTATATAATCATTAATTACCGAATGATTAAATTACTATTCAAAGATTAAAATACAATGTCACGAATTTACTATTTACTACTTTTCAAAATACATAAAAGTACGTTACTGTAAAGCCAATAACTTAGAAATATATGAATATCAGGAAACATGTCTTAAAAGATAGCACCGAGAATGAGTTTTTTAAGATAATCGATAAACTAATTACACCGCTAGATAGTTCATAAAAAAGTTAGTCACATCCTTTAATACCATTTGTTAGTTCGTCCTTAAAAAACTATTTAAAAAAAGTCAAACAAAACTCAGATGTTGAGTCCTAGCACTTAATAAAAGTTGCGGTAAAATCGAAAAAAATGTATTTTTAAAAAAATCATTCGTGGACATATCGTTAGTTCGTTAAATGAGCTAACAGAACCTATGATAAAATTGGAGATAAATGAATTACATCAATAATTAAAAGTAAAAAATTGTTATGGGCTATTACTGTTGAATCACGGCCAAACACAAAATGGCGCCCATACTTTCCACCCCACCAACTACGGCACGTTACTGTTAAGATCAGACTGATCAGTGATGAGAATTTGATAACTGAAAAAGTCCCATTGGAAACTATTAAAAATAATTGGAATAAAAGTCGATGGTTTTCAATCCTCGATCTTGTTTGTCAAAATGACGATTGATAACCTCCTGTTAAAACAAGGACATTCAACCGGATTGAAAATCCAATCCACTTTGAGTCAATTTCTGGATCCTCCCTCAATATAAATTTTAAAACACATATATAATAAAAAGCTCATAAGGAACTCATTCATGAGACTTCTTATCAGAAATCATTCAGTCTCAAGAGGGGGCTATGTAACGGTCCTATATATGAGCTGTTTATTAAATCACTGCAACTAGTCTAACGTATTTATCTGTTTAGTCAAAACAATACATTAAGCGGCGCTACCTCACTGTTTACGCGACTGTATACAAATAAGAGTCGAGTCAAAACAAACAACGTGACGTCACAAATAATAGACATAGATATAATGATCCATAATGTTGAGAAAAATATGTTAATTATAGATAATTTGAATATAACAAAGTATCGATTATATAGATTTTAACATGCAGATCCACAATATCTCATTCAATTATAAATTAATAATGAATATCAATATGTAAAGTTAATTTATTTATTAACATATGAAATATTAGAAAAATATAAATAATTTATATGTAAAATGAATAAGCATAGAACATGAGTAAGAATTGGTTTCATTAATAACAGCTAAATAACAACTGTTATTAATAAATAAACAATTAATAATTTATTTCAACAATAAGCTATATATAAAACGAAAATATTAAGTTAATACTTGATAATGATAATTTTATGATTTAGAAATCTTAGATAACTAATCTGATGATCGCATATTAAGATTAGAAGAAAACCGTTACAAATATGAAAAATTAGTCATAATTCAAATGATATTAATTAATTTAAATAATTAATTTTGGAAAATACTTCCAAAATTAATCAACTATAAAGTTATATGTAATTTTAATAAATTTCTATTGTAAATAATGTAATATCACGTTAATTAACTTTATTAGTTAATAACTTTTGACGACACTATTGGCGATAATTGTACATTGTATAAAATCAACAAATAACTAATTCTGTAAAATTTACATGTGTTAAAAACTTAATATTAATGGTTATTTACTTGTAAATTAAGAAAAATCATTTCTCAAAATTCGCGAATGTCTCTCGAATTTTCGATGAAATCTCTCCTGCAATAATAAGCGGGAAAATCTATGTATAAATAGGCCCACCTTTGCACAGGCTAGAATCATTCACTTCTAGCCTTGCAAGGTGAGCGCATGAGTCTGAATAAACTTGGATTAACACCTAAGTTCTTTCTCTCATTGTGATTAACTAAGCAAGACTATCCTTTCCTTATAATTTGAGCTCGACTTATAGAACATCTCGCGCTATAAGAAACTTGGGCCGAATTATATCCTATCAAAGAAAGACTTTAGCTCTGCTTATGGGACAATTCGCACCATAAGAAACTAGGGCATTGTCTGACTTTCCTCGATATATTGCAATTACTTATGTATATTTGATTTACTTATTTATTATATTTGATTCATTATCTATTCTCTTGACAATTGGAGTAAAATCATCGGAAACAAATTCTTACTCATTAGCTAGTTTACGAGAGTTCGAATTATTTTATTTATAAGTGATACGAATATCACATACATTCGAAGCGGATTAGATTTTCAATCCGGTTGAATGTCCTTGTTTTAGCAGGGCCCTGACACAAAAAATCTATTCACTTCTATTGAAAATGGCTCATCCAAATGGCTCATTCAAATGGGAACAGTGCACTCCCGATTGCAACTCATTCGACAAAAAATCAATACTCCGAGGCTATCGGTAAGGCGAACCAGTGCCAATGAGAAGTGGTAAAGCCGGTTGATTCTTATTGGAAAAAATCGCACTGAATATGTTATCGTCGAGAAGTCGAATCAGCGTCAATGGGAAGAGTCTAATCCAATTGACTCTTATTTATTAAATAATGGCAACTTCTAGGAGAACTGGTAAGTTTAATAAGAGCCAATGGTAATAGTTAATTCCAATTGCTACTTATTCGATGCTGGCGAGGAATGTTTAGCAAGTTTAATCAAGGTGAATGGGAAAATTATTTCATGAGATAATTATAAAAATGTGATGCAGAACAAACATTTCGAAAAAGCGTTAATGAGTAATTTTTGATTTATTATCATAATGATACGTTATAATAAGAATGTGAATGAATAAAACTAGTCAGTGGAATAAAGCATATTCAAAATTTCATTGCTAGAGCTATGAACACAATATATTGAAGCGACAAAAATAAGGTAAGCGAATATTTTATACACAATAAATTACATATTGCAATTGGCATGTATTGAATGTATTTCTTTACTGCTTTCTGTAAAGACGACCGAAAATTATTTCCAGTAAGACGATACATGTTTTCCACGTATTTTTTGACGTAGGATACGATGGTGCTATCAATTTTCTCAGTAAAATCACCGTTTAAGCGCAAAGGGTAAAAGTTCATTGTCACCTAATTTCACGTAATGGGAGTTTGAATATTTTTGCACAAATGCTGCTGCCATTTCTTAAACCGAGCAGCTCAGATTTTAATTCCAACGGGATCCCCGTATGCCGTTTTCTTTGACATTTTTGTTCCATTTTTTTCCTTCCTGCTCAACGTGAAATGCGCCAGAGGAGTAAAATAATCGAAAAACTTGGTAATCTTTCATAGAAATCTCAACAAATAACGCTTCTAGCGCTGTACAGTTTATTTCTACAAGAAAACTGATGGCACCATTGCATACTATGGAAATATTGAAGGGATATATATATATATATATATATATATATATATATATATATATATATATATATATATATATATAATATCATGCAGAATGAAAGTGCTTTTACTAAAAAATTAATTTTTTGTTTTACTTTTTTTTTGGTGTGAGCAAAATATAGAATAAAAGTGCTCTTACCAAAAAATTATTATTATTCTTATTCTTATGATTTATAGACCATAGTTATCACTTAAAAAAGGAATAACTTAATCCATAATACAGCAAAATCATAAGCCCGACGTTTAATATAAAACATGTTCCGTTGTGACGGAATTTGTATGTGTGTGCGTGCGCCAGAGTGAATGCGCATGGGTGAGTTCGCATGAGCGCGACAGTTTAACGACGCTATGTGACAGTACTTTTCCGGTCTCGTGAGAATTATCGCGAAAAGAAAGTAGTACTCGTGCTGATACCGGTAAAACCGCACGTGTTCGCCTTGCAATCAAGGACTTTTCGGTATTACCCCAGTAGCTCTCACAAAGACGCAAATCAAAGTATTGCGCAACCCTTTCTCAACTTTTTCTTTTTTTCTTTTTCTCTTTTTTTTGTATTACAACGTTGTATCTCGCTTTTTTTTCTTTTATTAAATATGGATTTTTTATGCCTTTAAGCTTTTTCCAATCAAAAAAAGGATTGTTTTAATCATTTAATTACCCTTCCCTTTCAAATAAAAATCAGCGTCAATGCCATCTAGGGCATGATAGCTTCTCAAAATTATTCATGGTGCCTCCGGTGAGGTTGTAAAATCTCACGAATTTCTTTGTCTTGGAAATTGACGTGTGCGCGAGTGATTGTTTGTGTGCGCGAACCGTTTTGGACAAGTTGCGCGCCAAAAGACTGTGCCAGTGCTTTACTTGCTTCGCGCTGCAGACATCAGCTGTCCAGCACTACGACCAACCATCACTCCCACCAAAGGACGCCTCATCACCTGGCTGGCCGAAGAGTTGGTGAGATAGATGTTTCTTTTGATCGCTTTCTTTTCTCGTTTCTAACGTCAATAAATCTATATTTCTTCAGGCGTAACAGCGGTTACGTCCATCAACGTTCATTTAAACCGCAAGTTGCGAATTCTTTATTTTTTCTCTCTCTTTACGGGTTCTTCTTTAGGTTTTCGCGTATATTTTTATTTTTTTTCTCTATAATCCAAAATAACAGACGTCCAGGCGAGATCCGCCTATATTGCGCAAAGAATTCAAGCGTTTGAAAGGCAAGTCAGGAAATTGCAATCGTATTTACAGAGCGTCCAAGTAGATCATCTTAGTGCAAAGGCAAGACTTGATCTCATCTCAGCTTTATACAAAGACATGGTGAGGTACACAGACGAACTGTTTGTGTTGGATTCCTCTAATGCTCAGCTTACCTTGTTTGATGAAATTGAATCCATCTTCTTCAGCGTCGTTTCCTCTGTTGCGAAGCTTCAACCGGTAGTCAGCAATGCGCTAGCCAGTTCAACTCTGAACGCTAGCAACATAACTATTACAGAACGACATGATCTTCCCAAACTTCCTCAGGTCCAGATACCTTCTTTTGATGGAAAAAGTGAAGCTTGGGCTCACTATAAGAGTAAATTCATCGCTCTCGTGCACTCTCGCGTCGACATCAGCGATGCGGTCAAGTGCGGTCTTCTTTTCGGATCTCTCACGGGAAGGGCGCTTAAGAAAATCAAGCACTTCAACCCTAGTGAGGAGGATTATGTTGAGGCCTGGCAGACTCTGCTGGATTCATATGATCATAAAAGGATCGTGATCAACCAGCATTTGGATGCCATCATTTCCCTTCCAAAAGTCTCAACTGCCACCGCCGATAATCTCTCTATGTTGCTCGATAGAACTCGGCAGCATTACCACATCCTTAAGAGATTAGGTGGGTGTTCCGGCGATGAATTTGTTGTCCGCTTAGTAGAACGTGCTCTACCCCAATCCACCCAGAAGGAATGGCAAAGCCGTCTGGTAATTGAAAAACTGCCAACAGCAGATGAACTCTTTATGTTTCTTCAGGGCTGTATATTTGATTTACAATCCTTAGAGTCATCTGAGTCCCACTCTGAAAACCAGAAACGGAAGGCAAATGCAGCCGTTCCGTCCAAAGCAAAGAAACCCCGCACCAGCCGTAGCTTCATGACTAGTGCCGCTTCCTCTGGCGGATCGTCATCTTCTTCTTCGTCTTCTAGTTGTACGCGATGTAAGGGCAATCATCGTCTCTTCAAGTGCCCAGAGTTTGAAGGATTGAGCCCATCTGACAGGTTCAAATTCGCTAAATTCAATAATATTTGCCGTAATTGCCTTGTCGCCCATGATCATCCTCGCAAAAGCGAAGGGCGTTCCAAGAAGTGTCATCAAAAACACCATACGCTTCTTCATTTTCCAAGGGCTTCTAGTCAGAAAAATCCTCAGCTCTCCAAGTCTACTGAGACATTGTGACTAGCTTACCCTTCGATCACATCTGTCGCTTTTTCTCCCGAGTGCCAATTATTAACAACGGCCGTCGTCAAGGCCCAAAATTCTGAGAAGGGATTCACCACGGCGCGAGCCTTATTAGATTCGTGTTCTACGGTGAATCTCATTTCGAAGAATTTTGTCGATCTTCTCAAATTACCAAAACAAAAATGTTCAGTGAACATTGGAGCTGTGGATGGTCTGAGCACCGCTGCACAACATCAGGTGAAGCTAGTGTTCAGATCCAAACACACAGACTTTCAACAGCAAGTAACGCGTTTGGTCGTCCCCAATATTTCTGATTTAATTCCTAACGATTTGTTTCCACGTCATCTTTTTGCCATTCCTGATAACCTTCGGTTGGCCGATCCTCGTTTCCACATTCCGAGTCGAATAGACCTTCTCTTGGCCGCTAGCACAACCCTTTCTGTGTTAGCAATAGGTCAACTCAAACTTCATCACGAGAAGTCCACCATCGTGTTGCAAAAAACTCTGTTGGGCTGGATCATCGCAGGAGATATTAGTAACCCCGCCCCGTCCAATTATGGGTTCTGTAATGTGGTCAAGTTGGACAAACTTATTGAACGTTTTTGGATCATTGAAGACTTGGATCATGAGCCGGTCAAGTCTCGCGATGAAGTCGCGTGTGAGCAGCACTATGTTGCACACATCAAACGCGATCCCAATGGTCGATACGTGGTGCGTCTTCCTTTTCGAGACAACCAGTTCGACTTGGGACACAACAACAAGCAACAAGCTCTCAGACGTTTTCATGCGTTAGAGAGAAAGTTTGCTTCCCATCCTTCCTTAAAGGCTGAATACACCAAGGTCATGGAGGAATACATCTCCTTAGGTCACATGACTTTGTGTGATGAAGCCGATCTTGATGGTGGTTATTATCTCTTCCACCACGCCGTGATCAAAGAGTCCAGCGAGACTACAAAGGTTCGAGTCGTATTTGATGCTTCCTCTAAGTCTTCCACCGGTCTTTCTCTCAACAACACGCTCATGGTGGGTCCTACTGTTCAGAAAACCATCTTCGAGCAAATTTTACGAATTAGAACCCATCGGTATGTCATCACCGGGGACATTGAGAAAATGTACCGGCAAATTTTGGTTCATCCAGACGATAGGAAGTTTTAACGGGTGGTGTGATATCACCAAGGTAAGCTTCGGGTTTTTCAGCTAAATACCGTCACTTTTGGCGTGTCAGCAACTCCTTTCTTGGCAATCCGTGCCATCCAACAGTTAGCTAGAGATGAGGTCCACGACTTTCCTCGTGCAAGTAAGCTTCTCTTGCACGACTTCTATGTCGATGACTTTATCTCTGGAGCCGACTCCCTTGAGGAAATCACCGCTATCCGCGATGAAATCATCGCTCTACTTAAGCGAGGAGGTTTCCTTATAAGGAAGTAGGCATCGAATCATCCCCAGGCTGTGAGCTCTTTAGATCACAGGAACTTCGATCTCGATTGCCTAGTCAAGAAAGAGACTGTTCAGAAAACCTTGGGAGTCGTTTGGAATTCCCAAGATGATCTGATACAGTATTCCGTGATTCAAATCAGGCTTCATACTGTCACTACCAAACGACAACTCTTATCCGAGCTTTCAAAAATCTTCGATCCTCTTGAACTTTTAGGACCAGTCACTTTGTATGCCAAGGTCCTCATCCAAGACTGCTGGAAGGCGAAAGTGACCTGGGACGAGTCCCTCCCTCAAGACGTCCATACTAAATGGCATTCTTTCGCTCTTCAACTTCCTATTCTGCAGGAAGTATCTTTCTCTCGACAACTGGTCCTTCCGAATCACATCAAAATCGATCTTCACGGATTCTGTAACGCTTGCAACCATGGTTATGGGGCTTGTCTGTTCGCGAGATCCGTCGATTCAGAAGGAAACGTTCTAATTCGACTTATCGCCAGCAAGTGACGTGTTGCTTCGTTAACAGGAATTACCATCCCACGGTTAGAGCTTTGCGCGCCTTCTATCTTGAAGCGACTCTATACCGAAGTCAAAAACCAGCTTGACTTTCCAGTCTCGTCAGTGACACTATGGTCGGACTCCGCCATCGTACTTTGTTGGCTACGAAAGGCACCTCATCTCCTGCGGACGTTTGAATCCAACCGGGTGGCTGACATTCAAACTATCAGCGATCAGGTTTCGTGGAGACACGTCCGGTCTGAGGACAATCCTGCGGACGCGTTATCTTGGGGTCAACTTCCGAACAAATTTCATCAAAATTCTCTTTGGAAGTCTGACCCCACGTGGTTGAAATTCCCAGAGTCTGATTGGCGTCCATCAATTGCACCCTCGTTGACTGAAGTCCCTGGAGTTAAGAAGGCCGTTTGCCTTCTCATCCAAAGATCTGGTGAAGACATTTACTCCAGGTTCTCGAATTTCGAGCGTTTCCAAACCAATCAGACTCCCTCTTCTTCGAAATTTTCACCATCGTTTCAATATCTTCATCCGTTCGTTGACGAGGAAAGCCTACTTCAGATCGGGGGTCGTCTCAAAAGATCTGACATCCCTTTCGATCAAAAACATCCTTTGTTGTTGCCTTCCAAACATCACGTGACAGACTTGATCATTCGACGCTGTCATCTTTCGAAACTTCATTCCGGAATTCAGAATACCTTATACGCTCTTCGGAGCAAATTCTAGATTTTGAATGGGAAGAATCAAGTCCGGCATGTGGTTCGAAAGTGTTTGATTTGTATCCGAAACAAGCCCAAACTTGTTCATGCTGCCATGGCGGATTTACCCAAGGCTAGAGTGAACGAGTCACCAGCATTCTGTCATACTGGTGTCGACTTCTCCGGGCCCATTTTCATTAAAGAGAAAATGTTCCGGAACAAGTCTACTCTCAAGACGTACGGATGTGTTTTTGTCTGTCTGGCTTCTAAAGCCGTTCATCTTGAGCTGGCCACCGATTTGTCTACCGAGGGCTTTTTAGCGGCGTTTCGGAGGTTTATTAGTCGTCGAGGAGTTCCTGAGCATGTGTATTCGGATAACGGTACCAACTTCGTTGGTGCAGCTAGGGAACTCCGAGAAGTCTATGACCTTTTTGAGACTCCTTAGTTCAAAGAAGCTATCGGTGATTATGCTCTTTTTAAACAGATTGAATGGCATTTCAATCCGCCTCTATCTCCTTATTTCGGTGGTTTATGGGAGGCTGCAGTGAAGAGCTTCAAACATCATTTCAAAAGAGTTCTTAAAGATCAATTGCTCACTTATGAGCAGATTAACACTCTTTTGATTGAGATTGAAGAGGTTCTCAAATCTCGTCCTCTCTATACCCTTTCTTCGGACCCCAATGATCCATTGGCAATAACTCCTGCTCATCTAATGATCGGACGACCTTTTAATGTGTTACCTGAAAAATTGGTTCTTTCAGTTCCAGATAATGGGCTGTCGACCTACAACTTCGTCATCAAAGCCCGACAGGATTTCTGAAACAAATGGCATAAGGAGTATCTCCATGAACTCCAGACTCGACAGAAGTGGCACGAATCCACTGCTGAACTCAAACTGGGTTCGGTGGTAATCCTCATGGACGACGTGACCAGCTGCTCCAGATGGCCGCTGGGTGTTGTTATCGGAGGTGTGTCCTGGGAGTGATGGCATCGTTCGAGTTGCGAAGATCAAGACAGCGAGCGGCATTTATACACGCAATGTCACGCGTCTCTGTCTTCTTCCAATTACGTAAATTTATGTGTTCACTTCCGTACGGCACGATCTGTGATATTCTGATCATCAGACCAGTCCCTCCAACGGAAACTAGTCTTTAGCTTGTAGGCACTCCGTGCTAGTCAATTTTGTGATCACTGTGGAGATAATCACTCCAACGGAAATTACTCCAGCGTTAATTTAGAAGTTAGTTTCGTTTGTTTTTTTTTGTTTAAGATAAACTGCGAGCGAGTACCCTAGCGAGGGTTCATGTTAACTTCGCTTCTGCTTTTTAAGGTCTTCTGATTCGATCCTCCTTTTATCATCCTATCTTCTGCGTCATTTGGAGTCTTTGTTCCGCAGCTATTGCCGGGAGTATGTTCCGTTGTGACGGAATTTGTATGTGTGTGCGTGCGCCAGAGTGAATGCGCATGGGTGAGTTCGCATGAGCGAGACAGTTTAATGACGCTATGTGACAGTACTTTTCCGGTCTCGTGAGAATTGCCGCGAAAAGAAAGTAGTACTCGTACTGACAGCGGTAAAACCGCACGGGTTCGCCTTGCAATCGAGGACCTTTCGGTATTACCCCAGTAGCCCTCACAAAGGCGCAAATCAACGTATTGCGCAACCCTTTCGACTCATTTTTCCGAGTTGCCGCTCAAAGAATTGTGTGATAAATCGAGTGTACAACGAGCACATTAATGTATGAGATTCGTTAACCTAAACACGTCCTGCCCAGTGCAGTCCTTATTCGCGCCTTTCCGAGGTGTCGAAAAACCTCATTGCCTTTCGTAGGCAATTTTAGTGATCTCCTCAACGGTGCGCTTTTTAACGGCATTGGACGGTTGTTGCACGATCGCCTCAATGGTGCGTCAACGCCTCCTTTGTTCGCAAAATCGAGTGTGTGTGTGTGAGTGTAGTACGTGTCACTTTTCCCTTTCTCAACTTTTTCTTTTTTTCTTTTTCTCTTTTTTTTGTATTACAACGTTGTAAGCGTGTAAGCGAGTAAGCTTAGCGTTAGAAAAAGATGAAGATATGCTGAAAAAATTATTCGAGACTATGGAAAGAAAGGAGTTGTTTATTTACCATCGAGAAGGCTCGAATTTTGAATTTAAAAATTAATCTAGCATAATATGTAAATGTATAAATAGTAAATAAATTTATATTTAAAATTTTAATTATCTCTTTAATCCTAATTTAATTATTCCTTCAAATCCTTTTTTTTTTTTTTTGGAGAGGTTGAAGTAATTACTTATGCGTTCTTTCTGCTGAGTTTCGACTTAGTGTAAAGGTCTCATAAGCAATGTTAGTAGTGGAAGCACCTCACAGGTGAGAGCGATGGTTGGGGCTCTCACCATTCCCTAACAAAAAATAAGAAAGAGAGGGGAGGGATTTCGGCGGCTCGAAAAGCGAAGTAGTGGGGTTATATTCTAAAAATATCGATAAGATGTTAATAGGAATACCATTCTGTTCGAAGCATTGGTAAGAAGAAGAAGTAGTAGTAGTAGTAGTAGTAGAAGCTTAGCCATGCCAGCTATAAGAGACAACAGGAGATCTCACTCCTCTTCTAAGCATGTATGGTTTGCGAAGAATGTTAAAATACATCATCTTCCATACGAAGAAAAAGACTCTAGAAAAGGTATTTGGGAGCAAAGCAGCAGCAGCAGTAGCAGCAGCAGCAGCAGTAGCAGCAGCAGCAGTAACAGTACAAACAGCAGTGATAGCAGTAGTAGAAGTAGTAGTAGTAGAAGTAGTATTAGAAGAAGAATATGTAACATTCTAGATTTCTTTACCTACAGCAAGATGAATTTTGAAATGTTGAATAACATTGGAATGAAGCTTTTCGATATACTTCCTGAAAAAAGTCATTATGAATTGCATGAAGATGAGAATTATTTAATAACATTCATGAGACAAGATGAATCTCGAATTATTCTTGAACTTGATTGTGAGTTCGAAATTGTTCTACCGGACCGAATGTCAAGAGCGATAATTCATCATTTGGATCTTTTTATTTATCTTTCTGATAGAGTACAAAAATATGCATTATTTATTCAATATTATGGATGTGATCGATTTCAATTTAATATTAAGTAAATGTATTTGTATATCTTATTAGATCTCAATAAAGATTGTATTATATAAATTTATATTCTGGAGAGGTAAATGAGTCATTAGTGTTTCTATTAAAGCAGGTTTCGACTTGTCTTAATGGACTCACTAGTGTCGAATATAAAAAATGGAAGTACCTCACAGGTAAGAGCGAAGGTTGGGGCTCTTATCCTTAAAATAAAAAAAAACAATGTAATATTTATAAATGAAAACAATTATTTATTTAAATACAAGCTAGATACATATAAATTTATATTTGTAATTCATTGTTGTATAGTCTCCTTATTTATCCAAGAATTGTGAGTATTATCAAAGCCAAGCCATTTTACATAGACTTCATTACCCCGTCTTCTGAGAATTTTTTCTACAAGATAAATATCAGGATACATAGCTTTCTGTAGTTCTTGCTCATAAAAACCTCCAACAATGGGATTTTCTTGATAATCTAGTAGGTGATATGTTACAGGTTTAGTTCTCGAAATACGATGAATAGTAAAAATTTCTGTATACCAATTAGGCGTATATCCTTTTTCAAAAACGTGTTTAGACTTGCTTACTCGCACTTTATCTCCTACCTGGAATTTCGGTTTTTTGAAAAGACGTTGATCGTAAGAGAATCGTGTCAAGACCTGCATTTCATTTTCTTTAGTCACGTCTTTAGGCTTCATATTTATTGTACGATGTTTATGATTATTATAAGATTCTATTAAACTGGGGAGAAAGTCAATCCACTTATAATTTCCTATTAAATTGAATTTTTTCCACATAATATTTTTTAGTGTTCGATTTAAACGTTCACAAATTGATGCTTTAAGATTGCTATAAGTAGAATAAAGGTTTATTTTATATTTTTTCATTAAACTTTGAAAATTTGTATTGTAGAACTCTTTGCCTCTATCCACTTGGAGATTTTTAGGAATGCGTCCCTTTTTTAATACAGACACCATTGCGTTCGTGACATCTGTAGCAGTTTTCTGTTTTACTGGAACTCCCCAAGCATATTTAGAGAACGTATCTATAATAGTTAATAGATAGCGAAAACCTTTATTCTCTCTAGAATAGCTTTGCATCTCAACAAGATCAGCTTGCCACGTCTCATCTATTCCACGTATATCGACTTTTCGACGAGGATAGTTTCGACGTCTGGTTTATGTAACTCATCCACCACTCTTTGATGTTTTATTTTTTCAATCTATTTGTTATAATTGAATGAAAAGTCAGACGGCGTAATCCTTATTTCTTTCTCCTTATTATCATTATAATTATTTGTTTGTAAATATTGAATCGCTTCTCCATACGATCGTAATTGTGTTCTTATTATATTTAAAGATTTTCTAAGATTATTTATTGGAGTCGTAAGCGTATCGACGTTAGCTTTACTAGTTTTTTGCAGATTATTTATCGTAGTCGTAAGCGTAGCGACGTTAGCTTCAATAGTTTTTTGCAACGTTCGTAAGTTTACAGCATCGTTACTCTCCTGAGGATCGGCTATATAACAAATTCTTTTGTCATTCGCGTCGTATTGTCCGTCTTTAGTGATATTATACCCTATACCAGGAGGACCTTGATTACCCTCCTTTTTTTTCAATGTACGTCCAAACACATCAACACATATTTTATTACTGAGGAATATTTAGAATTGTCTTAATATATATAGCCAGCTTCACGTAATTCTTCAATGATTGAATGAATTTCATTAATATGACTAGGATTACCATCGGTTTGTTGGGCGATAAGCAATCTCAATCGATCAACGAGGTCGTTTGGATCATCCCAATATACATAATCAAATAATGTTCCTTTTCTTGCTATTTTATAGTTAGGAAAAAGACCTCTTCCATCAATAGTCAATTTTCGCTTCTTAGCACTACCACTTAAAGATAAATTTGGACCAATATCCTTTTTAAATTTATTTACACGCTTATTGCGATATTCTCCATTTGTTTCATATCTCTTACGATGAGCGTTAGTGATTTCAAGAATTTTTATATAATTTTCAATATCTGTTGAACTGATTAATTTAGAATTAGGTTCTTTACAAAAGAGAAGTTCCATTAATTTAGGCGTCTTGCTGAATGCTTTAGCATTCACAGTCACATTATCGTTTTGGAAAGAAATGGGAGAATTGCCTATGACATATGTATTTTCATGCAAGCGAACGCCAAATGTCTTGTCTAAATTACTTTTCTGTTGCGGTTCATGCAATAGTCGAATATAGTTTCCTACAATCGAGTCATCCAATAGCTGTTTTTGTTGTTTTGAACTAACATTGTCTAAATTTATTGCAGTTCTATCAAGTGTTGATTCACTAGTCTTGCTAAATTCTTCTTCATCACCATCATCAGTAATAGACATAGCGGATTCAAATGTAGAATCAAGCGGATGTAATGTTGAATTTAAGTCATTAACAGTACTATTGAAATATCGAGATTTATAGGGAGTGTCAGCTGTTGTTTTTGACTTGAAAACTTTATCGAACGTAATTTTCTTCTCCTTGTTCGTTTCCTGTTTAGTATTATCGTTAGTTTTATCAATAGCTACCTCCACAAGTTTCTTCAATGGATCAACCATAGGTTTAAAAGTTTCATTCAATGTATTTTCTAAATCAGCTTTGTCACGGTTTATTAGTTGATACTTACGTCTGATGGCATCACGAGCCTCAGATAATTGCTCGA